GTCTCTTCCAACCATAAAGATTCTACGATCTCAAAAACATCAAATTCTCATGGTGTACAAAAGTTGGTATTTAAGTAAATTAGAGCTACCTTTAACAAAATCCTGCAGAATTATTTCAACAGTTAATCCATCAGTTAACAGGGGAAGAGTGGTAACCAACATGTGCATACATCTGTAACTCTAAAGCAGATACACCACGTATATAATGTCTCCTGTCCTTTCAGCAGTTAGAAGATACCATAAGTGCATAACTGAACAGTTTTGGTCGCATGGGCAAAGCAGGAGATATTAGAAGAACCAGAGAGGTAAGGGAATATAGTTCTGTATGGCCACTAAGGATATAGGACAGATGTGAGGTTACTGCAGAAGGGCAGAGGGTCCCACTCAGCAGAAACAGTACAGAAATCTGAAGGAAAACTGGCTATGTCTGTCCTACTGTTCACAGAAAAACCTCCATTAAACTTTGTACTCAAAATCCTCAAGGCCTTCCTGCTAACTCCACAAACTAAACCGCAAAGAAAGATTACAGGTACAGGACTGTTAAGACCATTTATAAATTAGAGAGTGCACCATTCACCTCATCATACCACAACTGGAATCTGCAACATCATAAAAATTAAGAAGGTGAGCAAACCATTCTATTAATTTAATGTCATCATCTATGGAATAATTGCATATATCAGATGAATGCTTAATAACTACCATAGGTATTTACTTTACAAAAGCTTAATTATTGCTCAGAAAATAATTGAAGGCTCCAAGATAAAAGGCGCTAAAGAAGTTGCAAGGGTGTATTTTGGAATTTGGCATCTTACCTTTCAGCACTGAATGCAGACTCTGTGTCAATGTATATAACAGCCCCATCTAGTCCTCCCATGCTTACAGGCAGTGTAGCCAGAACACTCATCATAATACAAAACTGAGTTTTGCCACAACCTGGTGGGCTAGTTATCTGGAAGAACAAAGATTAGTAACATAAACAAGAGATGTCATATGCATTTCACTCTAATTCTACTTTTAACTAAGACCCATCAGCCAGAACTCTACAGATTCTGCTCTTCCAGTTACCAAAGGAGGAGACAGCCACAACGAGATAGAATGTAGCACACAAAGAGCAAGCTGCAGTTACTCTTGGATCTGTGCCTTGCAGTCAAACTCATCCACTGAAGAATAAACAGTTCTTCTTCAGACACAGCATTATGCTTGTACTTTATTTCTTTGACATCCTTTATTACATCTCATATTTGAGGTCACCTACCCTCCCCCTCCTCTTACAAGATCTTGCCTAAAGCCACATCTAGTTCTCTTCCATCTCTTTCTCTGTGCTACCTTCTAAAATAGAGGAGAATTTGAAGATTCACAGTTGACATTCACATGACATCAATGGCCTTTAGAGATGAAAACAAAGTTCACAGATGTAAATGACTGCTTAGGAATCATCATTACCTTGGTTACAACCAGGTCTCCCTTGGAAATCACAAGGATAATCACTTATATCCCGTAAAGGCTGAATGTTCAATATGAACCACATATATATACATAAGACAGATTTTATCTGCCCCAGAGACTACACTCTGCTATGCAGTATGTGTTTTGTCATTGGTGTTAACTCCCTATTACCATATTTCCACATGAACACCATTTAATGATCCAGACCAGGTTGCCAATTTTAAGATTTTACCTGTGCTTACTGAAAGCCTATACTGCGGTTAAGCAGTATTCAAAAAGAGCACACTCAACTTCTGTGAAATAGTTCCAGTATGATTTTGATCCAAGACTAAAACCACAAGGATCAAAAGAATACATTGTTTGATGAGATCCCCAGCTTCTGAGAGCAAGATTTTTCCACTAGAGATGGCAGCATGCTGTTCTTTATCCACTGCAGATCTTGGAGAGGTTGTAAATGAATGCTGGGCTCTGTGTTCAGATAATTGTATGTTCATTACTACTACAGTGGGTCTTTAAATACAATATCACATTGTCACTTACTGCTTCTGCAAAGGGAGATGATAACATCTTAAATACCAAGAGGGCTGAAAACCAGCAAATACAAAGTTGAAGTGACTTTAGGCACTAAAACCAGAGAGTGATGGGTTCATTCTGATGCTAGGAGGGACCAAATAGCAATGCAAGATAAAAGTAAGTCTCTCCAGGGAAGTTAAACTGCAAAATGAAGCATACCTCCTCAAAACATCTAGTACTGCCAAAACAAAGGCTTAAATACAGAACTGTTGTTTTAAATTAAAAAAGAAACCTTACAACAGACAGACACTCAAAATCAAACTGATTTTTGAGCCTAAATGCACAATAGTTTGTTTTTAAGTATAAACACCCTTTCACCACAAGATACTACAGTATTGATATGGTTTCATTTCAACCAGCAGCAGCATGACTTGAAGTACAGAAAATTTACAGGGAAACACTGAGGGACTGCATTAGCTACAGTTACACATTAGCTACTGTTAACCGTTGGTTAAAATCCCTTTAAACACTTTTGTCTTTAAACAAGGCCTGAAACCCAAGCTATATCAGTCAATCTACTTGAAGCTTTAATGCAAGAGAAGCATTAGATGATTTTTGTTTAGAAGCACACACTGCATTTAGTGCATTACAGATCAGGAATCAGTCATATTTATGCAATTATCTGTCCTCTATCCAGTGTACTTAAATTACAAAATATCATATACCAACAATAGCTGCCACATTTTAATATGAACCAAAAGCATACATAAAAATTGCAGAGGCAATAAACATTCCTTAGACTGTGATAGCCAAAGAATCTCACTAGCTGTTTCTAGTTACAAAGACAACTTGAAATGAATGAGAGGAGGGCATCGATCCAGTGTTAAATTAAAATGTTTGGACAACAGTGAGGAGACCTCATAAAAACGTTTGTAGTTTCAGCCTTGCCTGGGAGGTGCATTGGAATCAACATTTATCTCAGTGGCTGATGCAGAAGCTAATTCAGCAAAGATGCTGTAAAAATGTCTGAGGATATAAGCATCATATCAGAGAAAGGGAATCTTGCAGTACGAGCTAGTTCAAGGAAGTAAGCCAATGGAGCAAGAGAGAATTTCTATTCCCAAAGACAACAATACTTCATCTTTTATCAGCATTCCTTTAAAAGGTATTAAAATGGGATTTTAAGTAACCCACAGTGAACAATTTTTAAAAACTACCAAATTTTATTGTTGCTACCACTGGTTTGGCAAGTGTTTTGAACAATACAATCTTAGTTAAAAAAAAAAATCTAAAATCCCTCTAACATAATTTAAATCAAATGTCTGCAAAAAGTTTGCTAGTTTATTTTACTCTAAATTTGCTCTGAAAAAAAATCAAGTCCACTCAGATAGAAATGTGAAGACTACAACAGTTTTTAATTTATCTCTGTTGAATGAAATACACTTTTATTTTTCAATAAGCTATATATTATTTTCTCTGGCACATCTGTAGGGTTTGGATCAAGTCACGAGGAGCTAATTCTTCTTCAGCTATCAGGGGATTAAACTCTTCAGTATTCACAAAGTCATTACTTTAATTTTTCCTCAGAGGAGTGGGCCAAAAGCTCTGACATCTGACCACAAAATTTCAGCTATGATTTAATTTCCATCTTAAAACCTAATAGTGGTTTGGGAAAAAACAGTCTGAGACAGTGTAGCACAAATCAAATCCCTCAGCTATGATTTAATTTCCATCTTAAAATCTAATAGTGGTTTGGGAAAAAACGGTCTGAGACAGTGTAGCACAAATCAAATCCCTCTGGCACTCAAAAAAGCAAGCAGTTTTGGCTGTAGAAGATACCACCACAAGTCTTAACCCTGTGGCTCATGTACTCAAATTCCAAGTTTGCAACCACCCTCACTGCTGGGTAAAGTAACAGGAAGACAATGATTTAGCCACATCAGCCAGGAAGTAAATGCTGCACACAACCTACTTTTGAAGGGAACTTCTCTCAGACTTAGAATATCTGCCTAATAACAAAAATACCGAAGGGCAATCTGCTGGTTCAGCTATGCTCCACTAAGTTGCAAAAGAGCAAATTAAAATTAACTTCCAAAATCACTTGAATCCAAAAAGAACATGACCTGAAAGTGTTTGCAAGCTGCAGTACAGCATCAAAACAGCAGCAGACACTTAATAGCTTTCTACTAAAATTTCATCTAACAATCATGCTGAAGAACACTTGCAGTGCTGCCAACTTTTGAAACTACTTTAGATCTCATTACTCTTGCAAAAATGCTCTTAAAAATCTCCAGAACCAGGCTTTAAATGAGAAACTGAGTTTCTGCATAGTTAATTGTTCTCTGCCTTTACATTTGCTGAGAAACCCCTAATATATGCCCTAATTGCCCTCCACATTCAGTACCTAAAAGGCAAATAAAAAGCAATACACGTTTTTTGGACACCTCTAATTTCTTAAGTTAGTCATCTAATTTCTTTAGTCTACCTAGTTCTCGCTATAATATTTCTGATTAAATACTTATTATACATCAGTATTGTCAATCTGGCATGAGGGTGCACCAAGACCAAGCTACTGGTGGCAGGACACAGCGCTTGCAGCTCTGGTCTCATCCACTAGATGTCTTGTACAGACTTCTACTTCCCAGTCACTTCCTGAGATCACCTACTGAAGGTAACCGCATTAGGCAGGTCTCTATTTTTAACCAAAATACATTAGAATACAAAAAACTTAACATTCAGAAGTTTTTTTTCAGAAGAAAACTTAAAGTGCAACACCTTTCCTGGTGCAGTGCTTTTCATTTACAACCAGATAAAAGTTCAGCCTGTCTTTGAATACATTCATTTCTCCCAACTACCTTTAAATACACTGACACATACAGAGTATGACCACTCTTAAAATAGAGTTTAGTAACAGTTTGCCAGGTTTTCTCATATCTAGAGAGGGAAATCTTTTAAGGAAAAAAAAATTAAAATTGAATACTGTGATAATCAACCAAGCTGAGAAGTATTACAAAATACATAGCTCTGGAAAATTAAGCATTTGCATTTACTTCCTGAAGAGCATGATTTCATTCCATCTCAGGAAAATGATATTTAACATCCATGTTTTGAGATCAACTGCTTGCAGAACTTACTTTCAAATAAATAATAATAAAAAAAATTAAAAAACCCAAAACACAACAAAACCAACACAACCCAAAACTCGTAAGTCAAAAGTTAGCTAAAGTCCAGTAAAAATCCCAGCATGTCAACCACTGCTTCTCCTGGATCCCTCTGGAGCAATGCCAAGAACATGGCAATCAGCAAGCTTAAAGTCTATCAGTGCTCCAGAGCCCTTCCACCTGGTCTTCAGGCAAGAACATGCCAGATAAACTGCACTGACAGCTGAATGATAGCTATACTTAGGATTAAGAAAAAAGACAAATATTCACGACATTATCAGCAGCAGCCTCGTAAATTAACTACATGGCT